TCCAGCCTATAAACCTAGCACCTCACACCCTATTGGCATATTCATCGCCCTGATGACGGAGGCAGTATGACCTCTGAAACGTTGGTTAACATTGACCAGACTACACAGCGCAACAACCCAGAAGACGGAAATCTTCATACTCACCACTGTGAGAACCTCAAGTCTTACGTATGTAATTTAGTTTCCTTTCTTGAATTGTGGAAATGAAAGTATTTGCATAATAAGGAAAATAATATAGCCCATGATAAGATGTTTGCTGTTTACATATGATTGAACTGCGTTGTAATTACATTAATGTTTTATTATAGGTCCGAGCAAGAAACTGGGTAAATTAGCAGCAGCGAAGGCAGCGTTAGCCAAGTTGTACAATATCACATTTTCACCATTCCCATCACTGCTCCAGCCAAACAGGAGTTTAGGTTCTCCAAGTGCTCCACCAGTTTCCTTTGAGCAGATGGCTCTGCCGCAAGTCCTTGCTGATCACATATCTAGGTGAATAAGTTTTCATTGTTCTGTATGAAACAGGAAAACCTTGAAGATGGCTGTCTTCTGGGTTGTAGCAACATGTAGTCTGATAGACATTTACCAGTGTTTCAGAGGTACTTGCTGCCTCTAAAATGTCAGTAAGCTGCTACTGGACTACACAGCACTGCAACCCCATACACAGCCACATTCATACTTGCCACAACGAGAACCCCGAATTGTATGCAAGCAAACCTTGTTCGTGCAGTGTTCAGAAGACAAGGATTAGAGATTTCAGCAGCTGGGAAACATGCCAAAAACACTGGAAGGAACAAGGCTTCTTTGTATGATATTTATTTAAGTTTTAATATGAATTGAATATTTTGTGTAGCACAAAATTTATAAACGATGGAGTCTACAAATGCCACTAGATGCTAGTAAGGGAAATGGACTAGATGTAAATGCAGAAATAATTTAGTATGTCGTTATATTTTATCAATAGAATACAGGATAGAGTCATAATATAAAGATATTTAACACATATTTTAAAAATATGGTGAAGTTAAAATATAAGGAGCAAAACAACAAATCATAACTATATTCACAGATAAATTAATAGTAGATTTGAGTTCGGAGAATGCATGCTGCAGTAAAATTCAGAATCTTTTATCATTCGGCGTTCTGTCCAAAAATGTAACATTTAAAACACGTGCAAAGCTGTAATCTTCCCTGGTTTTTGTATGGATGTGAATATTGGTCTCCCATCGTAAAGAAGAAAATTGAAAATGAAAAATTAGATTAAGTTGTGATACCTTGTTTGAATTTGGTATTGAACCTTCAGGTTTCATGACTCATCATCTTGAAAGGGCCCTGCCCACTAGTGTTCATGTTTATACAGAGGCAGTTGTGTGCATGGTGATGAATTGTAGATTATGTTACTGGATGCTGGACAAAGATTAAGAGCTTCTGAAAAGCTGATATAAGGCAGGACACAAGAACTGGTGTTGATGCAGGTAAAACTGGGGAAGATGAATATGTTCTGTCTGGTAAGTAAACTGGGAAAGTAAGTGAACATTTTTACTTTATTCACTACAAAGGTTGGGGCATACTCCAGATGAAATTTGTACTTTTATGTGAGATATAATATGATAGTACTTATATTTTCAGAGATGTTATAATGAACAGAAATTAATAATTTTATTCACTTGGTACAGCTAAACGAATATTTTATTTTTTCGTCCAGGTTGGTGATAAGGAAGTTTACAGATTTGACTGAGAGACAGCCCATGCATTCTCGAAGGAAGGTTTTAGCAGGTATTGTAATGACGGCAGGGCCTCAGATGGAAGATGCAAAAGTGATATCGGTATCCACAGGTACCAAATGCATCAATGGAGAACATATGAGTGTGCTTGGAGCTTCTCTGAATGACACTCATGCTGAGGTTATTGCCCGTCGTTGCCTTTGCGATTTTATCTATGCTCAGCTAGAATTGCACACAAACTCAGGTTTGCTTCAAGTTATTCTTATATTATTTTTTACAACCAGGATGTCATTTAATTTTGTACAAAAAATCTTATTTCTGTCCCAGTTATCTGGCATACTTTTATTGTACAGTGAAATGTTTAACCCATACCAATATATTGATGTTTTTTAATGCATTGAAAATGTACACTGCCACTTTATAGTTTGTGTGTGTGTGTGTGCACCCACTCATGCATCATACATTTTCCAGTACTTAATGTGAGGGATGTGTTTTCATAATTTGTTATGAGATGTCATTTTTCATCTGCCATCTGGTAACACTGCAGTGATTACAAGGTGGTGCGAAGTTAGGCCTGGGCAGAATACACATGGAAGAATCGGGTGTAAGTGCATTATGGCTGGTCACTGTAGCATCTGGGCAGCCTATTTGTATCTTTCCAGAGTTGAGTCATCAGTGACTGTAATGAAGTTATTGACATACAGTGTGTGATAGGTGATCAGAAAAGCTAAAACAGATTTTGATGTGAGTAAAAATTAATTAATTTAGAAGCAAACTGATGAATGAACTTTACAGAAAAGTGTAGAATAAGTGCATTGGCACTGTCATTGTTCAGCAAGGGACAGAAAAAAGATTTGAAAGAACACTGACTCGGACGCATTTGAATCCTCCGTTTATTTGCTTCAAAGAAATCGTTTTTCACATGAATACAAGGTACCTGTCAAATGTAAATTGGTTATAAAGAAGTTGCAGTCTTGTTTGTTAATTGTGCAAAGGATATCATTTGTTTATGTGAATGATAAAGTTAAATTTTTATTTTTCTTAAAATTTAATTACAGTTACCTGCCAATTAGTTTTATGCCAAGCTCTGCATCTGGTCTTCAGGCCATGATGAAGTCCTTTCTGAGAGACAGGCATGTTTATTTGTATACCATATCTGGAATTAATGCTGAAGTCTTTCTGGAATAAGCATTTGAAGGAACAAATTACATGTACAATTTGATTTAGCCGTGTATCAGCATAACATATTCTCTTGCTAGTTGATCATGTGCTGTTTTGACTGAAACTAACATTTTCTTTTTTATGATTTCAGAAACATCAGAACATTCCATTTTTGTACCTCGACTTAATGGTAAAGGTTATCAGTTGAAGGATAATATAAAATTTCATTTATACATAAATACTGCACCCTGTGGAGATGCTAGGTTGGTATTGCAGCTAAGATGACATGCTTTATTAAACTTTGCTTTGTAAATGCAAGGAAAGCTCCAGATAATGAATTTTAATTCCATGAATGTTAAACGTATCCATTGCTGCTTGTCATTCTCAGCTAAATTTGGGTTTTCTTTTTCTCCTCCCACTTTTCTGCTCATAGCTCACATTTTTATGTTTGTTGTTCTTCCAGAGTGTAAAAATGTGGCTTTTTCTTGGTTGTCAGTTAGAAGACAAAGGGGTAAATAGTATTGAAAAGTATTGATCAAAACAGGACGTAATGGCTGGGTTTTGTGATGGTGATGATAAACCTTTGGGTTATGTAATAACGTGTGTACATAGTAAGTAGTCAGGAAGGCTGCTGTAGCATGAAGTTAATGTTCACTAATTTCGTGTACCAGATAGGTCCTAAAAATAATTTAAGAAGTTTGAATTATGACAGTTTTCTAAAACCTTTTTGGAGTGAAACACCATTTTAAGATGAAAAGTTTTGTAGTATAGTGAAAATAAAGTAAAGCTGTTCTGCTACATGCCATGTAGGTGCTTTGGTGAGATGGGTGATTTAGCTCCTACTCATTGTTAATCTTGCCAGTAGATAAGGGTGAGTACAGTTTCTAACTCAATGGAGCAAAGTCTGCCTTGAGAAACCGGTAACACTTCTGCTGGTTAAGAAATTCCTACCTTTCATGGAAGCTGAAAGTTTATTATTGTGTTCACCAGATCTTGTCACTGAACTGTAACAGTTAAAATCTGGGAAGGATAAATTGCAAAAGTTTGCTACCAACCCTTTTCTGATTGGCTTGGAATTAGGCAAATAGCATACAATAGAAGAGTGTTTTTTCTGTTTTTTCCATGCTACTGTGATCATGTTTTATGTGTTGGTTAGTTATCAGTCAGTTTTCAACAATTTCCTGCCAGAATTGATGGAAGGTAGTAAATGGTTGTCCTTTGTGGTCTTCTGGATTGTGAGACTGCATAATCTTGCCTTGAAGTGCACTTCAGCCCTGAAGATGGAAGTGATACATTCCTCTGAAATTTTGGTAACTACAAGACTACATGGCATAACACACCAGAAGACTGTAGTTGACTTCTTTGTGCTCAAATCTGAGCTAGTGAGTAGTTCCTTGAACATTCCTGTAACAGTATCATACGTTATACCAGTCTCTATTTCATCTGTTGTGTTTTTTAAAGGATCTTTTCTCCTCATGAGGCTGTATCTCAAGATGACTCCATTGATAAGCATCCAAACAGAAAGACACGAGGACAATTAAGGACGAAAATAGAGTGTGGTGAGGGAACTATTCCAGTGAAGTCAAGTGATGATATTCAAACTTGGGATGGAGTTTTACAGGTAAGTCTTGGTCTTAATCTTAAAAAAAGGAGCATCCTGTTTGCACAAAGCTTTAATTTACAGGTAAGTGCTAGTAACATGAGATATAGAAAAGAGGTACAAAAAGAGTAGACATACGAGGTGCGATCAGAAAGTTTCAAGATTGTGTCAATAGAGGGCGAACCGGATGTAGTACAAGCTTCTGCCTTTAGGGGGTGCGGCCTACATTCATAGTGAATCAGTGTGCCAGCCGGCATCATCGAATTAGCATTTGTTTCTTAGTTACGGGCGTTTTGGTAGTGCATTACACCGACCCTCCTGCGATTTCGGAATGGCGTGTGCATCAAATGTTGCCAAAGACTCGCCAAAACGGCTAAGGAAACCTATGAAATGCTAAAGCAAGCATTTGGGGAGTCCGCAATGGGTAGTTCACAAACTTTTATGTGGCATTCATGTTTTAAAAATGGCCGAACCTCTGTCGATGACGACGAGCGTTCTGGACGACCATCTTCGAGCACAACGCCCGAAAATGTTACGAAGATTCGGCAGGCCATTCACAAAGATCGACGTCGTACCATCAACGACTTGTGCGACATTGTTGGGATAGGCTATGGGACCTGCCAGCTGATTCTAAAGGAAGAACTCCACATGCGACGCATCCTGTCAGAGGACCAGAAGCAGAATCGACTTCTCGTTTGTCAGGAGCTCAAAGATCTTGCAAGAACCGACCCCAACTTCCTTTCTAAGCTCCGTGTGACTTCTTCCTCTTCCCAAAGATGAAAATTCAGCTAAAGGAAAGGAGATTTGAGACGATAGAAGAGATTCAGGCAGAATCGCAGATGGTGCTTGACAGGCTGACAAAGAAAGATTTCCAGGGATGCTTCCAGGCTTGGCAGCGGCGCTGGGATCGTTGTGTTCACTCCCAGGGGAACTACTTCGAGGGTGATGGATGAATTTAATACCTGAGATAAGTGTACGGGATTCCGATCGCACCTTGTAGGTATAAGAGGAGATGATGGAGAAATTTTATTTTCGAAAGTAGTTACCTTTATATGCAACATATTTATTCCATGTGATTTTAAGGAGCACATAATCTTGCCAGCAGATTTCTGGACACAAAACATGCTTTGCACTATTACTGCATGTTCTCCTATTCAGGTTCCAGATCCCAGTGGTAAGTCCATGTTTCATCACCTGTCACTATTGTTAGAAGGGGTAGTATCTGCATCCTGTCTAAATGGCTTCATATGTGTTTAAATCTTTCAGACTGTATTCTGGAGTTAGAATTCTGAGTACTCTACTGACATTTGGCATTCGTAATTTTTCTTGAACAATGGGGAAAGCACTGCTTATAGAAATCCTACAACAGATATGGATTTTAAGTGTCTTTAGTTATTGTAACTTATAGTAAAAGAAACTTGACAGAAGTAATCTTTGGCCACTGAGATGACATTGGTTGTGAAATGTGTTTATACACTTGTAATTATCATACCAGCTCAGTGGAGGGGACACAGCACACTCAGAATATCTCAGACAGTGGCTGTCAATGCCACGGTGTGGTAAATGTTACGAACATGTATGGCTTTTAGCAGTATTCCTGATGGCTCAAGTGTGTGATGCAGAACAGTACTGTATGGTACAAATAAATGGGTTTTGTACATTTAGGAACTGTATTTATCGTCACACCTGTGTTATTCTTTAAGTGCAAGTGCACAAGAAGATCTTCATTGTAGCACTACAACTAATTTTCTTCATTATCTTGATTTCAGTTCTTTGGCACTTTGCGTGGGCAAAATTTTCAAGTAAATTGTGCTTATAATTACCAGTAGGCTGTGAACGGTTTATTCAAATCTGGTATTAAATAAAATGTGTGTGCAATGGTTGCTTAACAGCACCTGCTCTGTTACTAGTTCTTGTGTCTACTACTTTACATCATAAGTGTAATTGTAATTATTCAAATCTGTGAATGTAGTTAGTTCTTCTTTTAGGGCCAGAGATTGCTGACAATGTCATGTTCAGACAAGATTGCCAAATGGAATGTTGTGGGAGTACAAGGATCGTTACTGTCACATTTTGTTGAACCTGTTTACCTGGAGAGTATTACGCTTGGAAGTTTATTCCATCCCAGCCATATGTACAGGCAAGTGAATTCTTATAAAATTAATCAATTTCTGTATGTACCTTATAAGAATTGCTCCGATGATGGAGGCGGCAAGCACCTCTGAAACGTCGGTAAACTACCAGAGTACGCAATGCAACAACCCAGAGGACAGCCATTTTCATTAATTGCCATGTTTTGAAAATGTTCTTTTGTAGCAGTGTATCTTGAAAATTTATGAAACTAAATTCTATTTTATGCTGTGTCATGTCACAACTGAAGAACCATTGAACTGATTTTAATAAAATTTTGTATTGGAGGATTTTGTTTATATTATCACGTCTACTACACATCTGTTTGTGTTGTTGTTTCCGTGTTATAACATTTTAGTTATTTAAAGAATGTTTTAAAGCAGCTTTGTTGCATTGATTGTAATGGTGGCCAGTATTTATGAAAAATATTTGCATATTCATGATTTTACTTTGCATTCTGGCAGTCTGTATATAGGGAAATTTGTAAAGTCACTTGTTTCCAGGGCTGTGTGTGGTAGGATTGAAACTACAATCCAAGGACTTCCTCCTTCTTATCGACTGAACAAGCCACTTATGAGCCTTATTACTTCACCAGAGGTACGACAGCCTGGTAAGGCACCTAACTACAGTGTGAACTGGACCACAGGTAGGGAGATGCATGGTTCATAGTATTAATTATAATTAATGCTTTGAAATATGATGCTCATCTAAATAATATTTAGAAATTAAATTTTTACCTCAGAAACAACTCAGCACTTTTCTGTTGCAAAGATCAGTTGGATAATGTTATTTAAACCTTGGACACCTTTATCCTTAATATGTAGCATTTTCTTTTGTTGTATGTCACCAATGTCAATGCACTGCACCAACACACTAAGGATGTGTTTTATACTGCTTCATCTTGCACACTTTAAAGGTGTTTAAAAAATATTATGTTTCTATGAAGGTAAAGGTTTGCCCTTTCTGTTGATATGCAAGTTTGTTTCTTGCTTAATTTTTCCTACGTTTGCTTTATTTTATGACCATCATAACATTGAAAGAAAAATACAGTTCGTCAGTTTGTCTCTCAGTGCAAAATCTGTTTTCTTCAAATATTGAAGTACTTTTCAAAAGTATTTTTTTAAATGAAAGGTGTACCCTCATGGACAAAGTTCTGTGCTTCTGTTTGGCATATGAATCATGCCTTGGCGTGGTATAATAGGGCTGTTATATGCATCTTTGAGTTTCTTGTTCTTCTGTTTGAAGCATCTGTAGTAAGTTGTTTTATACTTCTGTTTATAAAAATATGAAGACTTCATAAGGCTGTCTTGAAATCTGTAACTATGTTATATGAATGTATACATTAAGTTAAAGTTCAAAGATTGTGCCTTACGAATATTCTCGTACCACCAGTATCAATCAGAGACAGCAATCAAGGTAAATAAGTCAGTATATTGGCTGACTATGGACTGTACAACTGAGGTTCTATCACCAGCAGGGGCAGAGGGTTTTTCTTCTAGTCTCTGCATCCATATTGGCTCTAAGCCCTCCCAGCCCCCTATCCAGTGGGTATCATGGGTTCTTTCCCTGGGATTAAAGCATGGCGGAGATGTTACGCTGACCGCTCACCTTCATCTAGTGCCAAGGTTGAGAAGAAGTAGGAGCTATACCTTCTCTACTCCCCTCACTCGCCTTCACAGCATATATCAGGGACAGCTTTATGTCACTTTTACCAGTATCAAACTCAGCATCCATTAGCAAGGGTAAGAATTTGAGTGTTAATAAAATTTATTATTTTTATCTGATTCTGATGACTTATTGATTTTGAGTGTCATTGATAGTTATGATGATTGTACTGTTGTCTATGCAATCAGTGCCATAGCAACAGAATAATAACTAGAAAGTGCACACATTGGTCAGGTTCAGACTGGAATGGAGAATAATACAGGGCAGCATGACATTATAGTTGTTTTTCTAATGTTATATAATAGACTTGTGCGATGAAATTGTGGTTAAAAAATGCTTCACCCAGCAGTTCATTTCAAAACATTTTCACTTGTATGTGTAGTCAAATAGTGACTGTAAACAAAATGTGTGTTATGACTGGGTTTTTTATGCTAATGGGGATCATAAGTAAATCCACCAATAGGTCTTGCTTTTCTATAAAAGGAATTCTGTCAACACTAGGCTTCAGTGATGTAATATCAAGGCACAGGCTTGAACTAATATGCAGAGTAATCCATTTTTCTGATTGTAACTGCATGGACACTTGTGATGGCTCTCTTATATTTTTCAAAATATTTCCTGTTATTTCACATCTTAACAGAAAACTTCAGAATCTTTATGTTCCTGGTCAAAATATCTGACATTGTGGAAGGGAATGTTATCTTTCAAGCAGTATTTGCCATTGGAAGCTCCCAAATTCAGCATAAGGACCTATGACTTGTGGGAGTCTACATCTGGTCTTTTGAGGTACAGGCAGTGACAAGGTTGGAGTCACATAAGATAACCTGCCGCCAAGAAGACCGCTTCTATCGTGTTATATTTAGTCAGATATTTATTCCACAAAGGACAAACATTGTGGCTGGACAACTCTGTCAACTGACTTACATTACTCTAGAATAAATGGGCTGGTTGTTTGGGGACACTCCGACTAAACAGAAAGGGAGTGCCCAAAACAGTCTAAGAATTAAGGAGGGGCATAGTAGTACCTCAGAATTCAGGGTTATTCATTGTTGTGAAGTGGAGTGATAAATTGTTATAATGATTTTATGTACCATGGGGCTGAAACTCAATCTGAAATAGAGGAAAAGGAAAGGAAAAGCCTGTGAGTATTACAGAAAGAAGTATTGATCTGAAGGATCAGCTGTTACAGCCTGTTTAGTAGAAAGCAAATTTCTGCATAAGAAGAATATTGAACTCTTCAGGATACTTAAAGGCTACTGTGGTAAATTCATTGATGACACATGAGCACATTACCAGGAAACATGTTCGTCATATGGTGTTTAAAGTTCTGCTGGTATAGGAGCTATTCCTGCAGTTTGGTGATACTGAGTACAAAGTGTCAGGCCGTCATGTATCTGATAACACTCGTTTGACCGAGAAGAAGACATTTCCTGAAGAAAATACCACCCATGGGAAAAAAGGTAAGGCCACAAATAGGGTGTGTTGTGTGTGCAAATAACAGAAAAAAATAGACTGTCTTGCTGCCAGGCTTGTGATATTAGACCATGCCTAGAAGGATTTCTGAGTTGTACAGTATCAAATTAAATGTCGAAGTAAGCTAGAACGAGCTATTTGATTCTGTAGTGATTAATGAATATAATATGAACTTAAATATTTATATAAAATGCTGTATTTTGAAGGTTTAATATTTAAATACCCTCTGACACTGCACTAGAGACTTATTACAAGTGCCCTCTGTTGCAAAACTTAAGGAAATAATTAATTTTTTCTGAGAATTATACAAAATCTATAAATGTGCTGTGTAGACAGAATTCAGAATTACTGAACACTAAAGCAAGTGTGGTTTAAAGGGTTAAGAAATCTTGTGTTGTTCCGGTGTAGTACAGAAGCTATTTTACTCAAACCAGTTCTGTCCTGTGATGTACTACATCAGTCATTCTCCTGGTAGGGTTAATGCACTTGTTTTGTCTATCTCAATGACTGCCTGGTATCTTTTAAAAAAGCTGTGGTATTCCACAAAAAAAATCAGATCTCTCTCTTGAGAATTTTGCAGAAACTTATCCAATATACACTAAGTCATTCTTGTCCACCTATTAAGAGGTACAAGAAATGTCATCAGAGACCAGAGATTGTTCTCGAAATGTTGGCAGAAGATGTGATTTGTTCACCACTCTGCCACCTGACGAGGCTTGTAACCCGAGAGTCTTTCATCAACTTCAGTCGCCATGAAAGCTTCACTTTGTATTTGTAGATATGTTTAAAAGTGAGAGTTAAAACTACCTATTAATTTCTTATGTCTGTTCATTATTAGTAACAATGCCCGAAATACTTTACTGATTTTTGTTTAAACTCAGAAACCTGCACTCAATTTTATCACACTATTTTGATTTTAGATTAGTTTCATTCACTTTAAAGCCACTACTGAATTTACTTGTAAATAAACTTCTGCTGTATTTTGTTAGTCTTTTGTTAAAACTTAGTATATGTCATGTTTGTTATGCAGGTGTTACCATGTGTGAGTTTAATTCATGTTAAGGGCTATGTAAGAACTAATTCAACTTTTATATTTTCTGAGTCCTTTTGAGCTTTTGTGAAACACTATTTCCAGCCCTTCTGTTATGTTTATTATATCTTTGATGGTTTTGTTGTAATACAACTTTTAGTAAATGTTATACAAATTCTCTTGTTTATTTTATTAGAAGGTATGTGTTAGTTATGTTGCATATGTAAGAAACTCATGTTTGTTTTATAGTTGAGAGACAAACGGTTGTTGAATTTTAGGACAAGAGGACGCTGAGATAATTAACTCAGTAACAGGCAAGGGTGATCAAGGTATTGCATCTCGATTGTCAAAACAATGCCTGTTCAAACGCTTCTTCAGTCTTGTGGGAAAAATTGGTTCAGTGACAGGATTGACTGTTGGATCATGTCCACATCAGTACTCAGGTGCAAAAGAAGCAGTTCAAGATTATAAGGTAAGTCCAGTGTGCCTCTCTCTGTGGAAAATAACAGTTGGAAAGACAGGTGTACACCAAGTTTCCAAGTCAAAATTAACCAAAGCAGATAAAGAGTTGTATAGTTTTATGCATTCATCATTTTAAATAATGATTTATTTTATATTATGTAGGATTTAATGTCCTCATGGCTGTGAGTACAATGATGGCTGTATTTTGAGTTGTAGTACCATGCTACGACCATCTTCATGATTTATGTTTTTTACGATTTGGACTTTTCATTTTGTTTCTTATGTAGAGTCTCTAACATTTAAAACTAGTCTTCTGACCACTTATACTAATTTCAACATATTCTGATAAGCTGTATTTGCATTGAATAATGCAACTTGTTTTAATATCTCTTTCTCTGTGTCACATATCAAAGTGGGAATATCATTTGATTGTGAACATGTGCAATAGCAGTGGTGAACTTTTGCTCCTCCTATAATGGTTATTTCTATCCTCTAAACGTGTATATGTAAAAGAGGATGACAAAGAAGTGAATTGATTTCCAGTTTACAAGAAAACTGTTTGTGATTACTGATATACAGAATTATATCCTTTGCTGTATTCCTTGTTAATGTGTAGTGCAGTGTGTTGAATTTTTGCCATAATCTCTTATTACAGTAGAGTGAATTGTTCTTATTGCTGTGTATTGCAGATGGCAAAGGAGCAGCTGGTGTATGCATTCCACAAAGCTGGACTGGGCACATGGCTGAAGAAGCCAATAGAACAAGACCAGTTTGAATTAGATGATTCTGTGTTAAATAATCATCAGTGACTGGAAGATGGTCCTTTTGGGGTTTACCTTGCAGAATAGAGCAGTTGCTCAGTCCTCCATCCCTCCCTGTCACAGTTGCTCCCAGAAGCTAAATCCACACTTGGCACCAATAAAGAGCAGAGTCTGGAGAACTGAGCTTAGCACCTCCTTTATTCTTGCTCACAACTCATCTCAAATTAACCCCAAGCACCATTAATATTAACTTAATTTTCTTCAAGTCAGGTAACAATGCAGTAGATAAACAAATTTTAGGGATCATGTATAAAATGGCTGCTGAGATAAATAAACCATTGCTTCGTAATTTATTACAATTAATTTATATTTGAATTTGTGCCAGGAACAAAATCAAATTGCCTCCTAAAATAACAAAATATACATGAGAAGAAATACACTGTCGATAACAAATCATATTTTAAAGTAAAGGCGCTCTCCATTATGCATTCTTTGCATGAGAATGCATATGGGGTTGATCTTGTCTGCCCCTCATGATTCAGCTTGGGAACTGCTGGACATATTTGGATGAAATTTGGTGTGGATGCTATGCGATTGGGGTCTACCCTAAAATTATATTTTTCAATTTGCTACAGTTGGTAATACCAGCATTGCAGATGCATGAACATGTGAGCTGATATTGACATTGGTGTCACTTGCAGTAGGGCCAGTGTTGTATGGTTATAGATTTTCAAAAGATACAAACTCTGGAAAACCAGCCACATGAAAGAAAATAGATATTTTGACTTGACGAGGATTCAGTCCCATCACCCCACGCATATGAGTCCAGTATGCTACCACAGACATGATACGCCTTGTGGTCTATCATTATTGATTTACATTATTTAAATATGACATTCAGACCACATGATTGGTATAGTTGGAAACTAAAGTTGACTAAGTAAGATAATTGAAGTAATCCTGCTTTGATAATTGTTCTTCAGGAGCTAACAGGTCAAGAGGCATTTTAGCATATATCATAGGTTATACATTGTGTTTCTGGATCAGTTTATAATAAATGTGTGCTGTTCTCTCAGTATTCAGTTTCTGATAACAGTAGAGAAGAAATAAAACATTTAAAGTATATGTTCATGCATTTCCATGAATTCTGTGGAAAGTACATTAGATTCAAATTCACTCATTTGTTTTTTTTAATATATAAAGGTAAACAGATGATAGCCAATGAATGAATCTTACATTAAAGATAGATGCTTAGGCTTTTACATTGCCTGCAGTGTATTACTACATTTAAGTGGATGTTATGCTTGTGTAGTGTATGTATGGTGTATATTTTTTGTTTCAGTGAGAAGCATTCAGAATTCTGAATTTGCAAAGAACGTGCACTTGCATATTCTAGTATGGTTTACACCTTCCTACTTTTAGTAAAGTCATTTATGTTAAAATTAATACAATAACAAGTATTTAGTACTCATTTAATTTAATGAGCAAATTTATATATGATCCCAGGCATAGTATGGTTTCCTTTTTGTTTAGGTGTGATGGAGCATGAATGTGTGTTTCACATTCAGACCACTAGCCTCCTACTTTCATGTAAAGTACTTGACATGTTCTTCCACATGACACTACTCACTTCTTACCGTACATTGTGATCTGGTTACTCAGATTTCTGTTCACAGGAAAATTTCATGCATGCCATATTTTAACGTAATAGAGCATTTATTGATATTTATATTATCATTTTTTTATCATGAAAGTTGTGTTTTAACAGCTTGAAGGATGGCATTCCATATACGTAGCAGAATAAACTCTTTGATGAAAATTGAACCTAAATTTTGTTCTGTAATTTGAGGTTGTGTAAATGTCTTATTGTGTATGGTGTAATTTTATTTGTGGTTACTATCCTTTAAAAAACTTCAACTTTCAAGGAAATAAACTGGCATATTCAGTAGTTCATTTGACAGTACAATTGTTATGTCATGGGCTACTTGTATCTTCACGAAGTGGCTCACTTGATATTCCAACATAGGTTTTTATTTATGTGAGAAAATATTTATAAAATTATAACTTCTTCACCTGCCGGATACTACAAAACATGTTATATAACATGTCTATGAGGATTGGCTGTGAAGTAGATGGAGAAATGTAGGCAAATAGATTTGAAAAACATGCAAGTACTGCCTGTAACAGTTGGTAGTGTGTTGTTATTGTTATTAATGATGTTGTTTGCGTTTACCAGACTCTGCCCCTCACTGTGCCAAGTCAGTATGGGATGGTGGACTGAAGACCAGGTCTATTCTGTTAGTTGTTTGTCTCCAGGAATCCCACTCAGAGCCATTGCTGTTCAGTGGTGCCTGAAGAATAATGTCATCGCACTTGCTGACATTGCCAGATCCAATGCAAGACGTAACCCAGTTCATGGACAAATGTTCAGTTTATCCTGCTCATTGTGTTGAGGGAGAGCATGGAGAGAATATTTTAGACACTGAAATGAACTTTAATTTGTGTTTAATAAAATTGTATTAGGCTCTAACAATGGAACATTATTGTTAAAGTATATGAATGTTGTAAACGGGTAAATAATGCTGCTTCCCTCTTTTAGCCGTTGTTAACAATTTCTTGGATCTATTGATCTAAGGTCACTTGATAAGGCTGATTGCTGTTTGAAGTTGTGACTCATTTCATTGCATACCATCCTTCTGTTTTTCTGTAACTTGTAAGAGGATGTTTATAAACAAGTGTAACATTTTATTAACAGGGGTCACCTGTTTATTTAATAACTTAAATGTGTTTTGTAATTTAAAATTGGTTGTAAATACCCCATTTTATTTATTGAAATGTTGTGTATGGTTATTTTTTTAATACTTCAAGGGAACAAATAGATATTTTCTGTAGTTGATATATTTATAGTATAATTATTGTTCTATAGGATACTTTTCTCACTTGTCATCACACAATTGTATTTTTATTTATACAAGAAAATAATCACTATAATGACTGGTTCTTTCTGCTGTCTCTTTAGTATGAGTGAACATGCATACAAAATAAAGACTGGCCAATGGAATTCACTATTTAGTAAACAGGACAGTCATTTGTTGATGAGGTGTAAATTGCCAAGAGCTTTTCTTCACATTATATATGATTTATCAGTTCAGCCTGACAGAAAGGTGCCATAATGTTAAAAGAGATCGGCTTCACAAATGCTGATGTCTGTTACATTCCTGGTAAAATTAACCATACTAGTATTCTAGGTAAATGTAATTTGGATTTCATTATCTTCATACAAGAAGAATGGAGTTATCTTTTTTAATGTGGAAATTGATGGTATATGATACTGGTACCATTACACCTTTCTGTAAAAAACTAAGCATAAAATTATAATATAAGTAGATTATATAATTTCTTTGGATAAAAATGAGATAATTTAATATACTGGTGACCTCTGTTTAATGTTTGGTTGCTTTGTCAATCATTAATTTATTGTGTTCATTGTCATTTAAGTTTTCAGTTTCAGGAATATTAATTTTGTCAAAAAGTTATGTTCCCAAATTTATTTTTGCTTTATCTGTTTGGTTGTAAGTGATAATACAAAGTTAAAACTTGTACTTGCATCCGTCAGTGGTGACTGCAGCATTACAGAATCAGTAATTATTTCTGTATCAGAAATATTAAGATTTGTAATTACATAAGCATATTGCTGTTCTTAAAACATCTTTGTTGAATGTTGAATTTTTAAGTATTTGATTGTTGTGATTGTCCCATTTTTATGAAAGGTTAATTGACTTGCACAAGTGTCAGACTGATAGAATATCACAAGTAATAGAATGTTTCTGATCATTATAACATAGATAATCATAGCCTTTGGCAGTTATTCTAGGGTATAAAGCATGAAGTACATTCAGGGTCCCGGAGAATATGTATCATATTTTAAATAGCATTACAAACATAATCTCTGTAGTTCCTAAGTACGATGAACACACTTATGAAACTTAAGAAGAATTTAGGATGAAACAATATGATGTACTGTTTAAGCTTTCCAGAATAACAAAAATGAAACTTGCTAACTTAAAAGTCCTCTCTTTCTTAGCATTTTGTAAGTTTTTGAATTTTCAGAATATTTAACAGTTTCACTTTGCCCAGTGACTGTGCTAGCAAACTGTAATTGGATATAGCGTGGATATGAATGAAAGAAATATCCATTTTAGAATTAGGAATAACTGTGCGAGTGATTTGCCTACTTAAAATATTGTGGGTTTTAACTTTTCAGAATGGTGCAGAACTCAATTGAAGCATTTAGATATTAGATAGTATATGACTTAATAAACAAATTAACGAGTGTGGAGAATGCTGTTATAACGCTGACATGTTGGTACCTTGTTCAGAAGGATTCAAAAAGTCAGACTGGCACAACAGCCGGAGGTTTGTTACACTGTGTAACTCAAGACCGGTATTATTTCGCCGAATCTTGACCAATTATTTATGTATCATGGATCAGTACAGTTACCAAATAAGATAATTTGGTATATAGCTTCACCACCATTAAAAACTGCTGGTTGAATCTTATGATACACTATCACAGTAGGTTTCTTCAGGATATTGTTTTCGCTGATAAAAGTTGTAAATCAGTTTGGTAGTATGTGTAGTTTTAGAAATATTGTGAGTTCAGTTACCAGATGTTTAACAGTTTTCTAAGTATGCAAAACCTGATTTATTCTTTGTAAATAAGTTCTGTGTTTGTGTATGTGTACACACACACACACACGCAAGGATAAGCATAGCAAATTTTGTGTGTTTATGTTTTCAGCCCTTGGTGGACTATGACTGCTTCCATTAAATACTTCATTAAACTTGACGGTACAGTTTATATCGAGAATTATATATACCGGTACATCACTCAGTATCGGCTGTCCATAGTCGATCCCAAGCTTACAATAGTTCTGAATATAAATGAAATACACAGGAATCATAAACTAAGAAAAGAGAAGCAGGACAATAAGTGGATAATACAAAACCTTATTACCTAGCAGACAAAAGTTGGGTTTCTTACAAGTACAAAGAAAAGAACATAGCATACCCCGGCAAGGTGATAAATTAACCGCCCTGTTCTAGTAGAATCTTGAGCATGCATCAAATTGATGAACCCTGAACACAAGTCATATTGGCACTCGGTCAGTCTGCTCAGCAGTAGTTTCTTCCATGTTGTTTTTGTTAGAGATTGTTGCGTATGAATATATAATGACTGAATATGAATACAATATTGCATATAATAGATACAGATCTTGTTATTCTGTGTATTACCTGGCAATTTCAAATTCTTAGTTGGAAGGCCATTGTATTGTCATGCTCTGTCTGTGGCAACTAGGTACTTAAATGGAACAATGTTGTCTACTGATGTAACAATGCCTGTCTGGAACATAACAAGAAATATCCAGTTGCAGCACAACCAGTCACAGTCAGTCTGTTAATGCTAGTACATGCGCACTAACTAGGTAATTACACTTCTTGGAAGAACAAGAATGAGATATAATACTGAAGTGGATATTAAGAAATATGACTAAAGGCAGCTCATACGAGATTTGCTAGATACACGGAGGCTATCTCAAATGATTACTTACAAATTAAGAACTGATCACTTATTACACCCAACAAGTTTATGGACAAGGTGGAAGATTACTAAAGATAACTATGACATCACCTGAAAAGAAGTAATAAAGCTTGCATACCAACATATACTTTCAACTAAACATAAAATCCATATAACTGCAAAATGGTGTTTTCAAGATATTCAGGAACAATAACAAATTACTGATACAGGTTTCCAACACTGAAGGTGCACCGGCCAAAGTTGTCCAACATTTTACTCACATTATCCGACTGTATCAAACGCAATCTTCAAGCAATAGCAAACCATCATAACCCATGCATATCCTTCATTTTTGTAACCACCAAAATTGTTTTTTGAAATGTTTATCATCAGTTTTATTAACATGTGAATGTTATTTCAAAAATGCATGAAATAAAGAATATCTGCCAACCATTATGATGTCGAATCTTCAAATAAAGTTTATAAAAATTTACTATAATAGCAGTCTTCTCAAACACCCCCATCCACAATCTTCCCCTTGCCCAAAACAAAGCTTCACACTTTAATAACTCTTTAGCAATACCAACACTTTTATAGGGACCGGACACATGGGTGAGCACTAAATTAAAATATTCAAATTCAACATTTGCCTTAGTTTGGCCATGATAAAGGAAGCAGCAAGCACTTCTGAAATGTCAAACTTCTACTAGACTACACAAAACATCCCACAAGTCATTTTAATAATTAGTCTAAAACAAGTACTTGAAAAATTTTCACATTGGTGCTTGAAGAGCTACAGGCATATTTAACTGCACCTAAAATAGGAAGGGGGTGGATTAGGAAAAACCAAGCATCTTTCTCAGCACCAGGCATTAAGAAATCACATCAAGCACAGTACATTTCTTGTGAACATCTTGGACTTCTAACCCTTGGCTTTCCACCTACAATACTCTGTTCACAAATCTGACCAATGCAAATTGAACAGGGGAAAAGAAACAATTTCAGTGTCCTTACTTCGAATAAACATTCAATTATCCCACAAATAAAATTGAAAAGCAAATTGTAAGCTCAGCTTGTAAAATGGCACTTATGCAACAAAGATTCTTGATCACAAAAGCCTGCCACCAAACTCCATCCTGAGCCAGCTGCATTCAGTTCACTCCATTCATTCCCATCTCTGTAAGGTCCTCCAGCAGTCTCCTCCCTTACCCATCAGTTCCACCAACTTACAAGGCATAAAAACTACAGCTAAAAAACTCGGGGTGTGGCTGTGTCGTGGACGGTCGTGGGTTCTGCGTGAAAAAGTCTGCTTTAGCGGGTGATATTTTCTTTGGGATATGGGAATGAAATGAAAGTAACGAAATGGATACATGGCTTTTATTTAGCATAACAAATATACAGAGTCTTAGCTAGTAATCGATGACAATTGTTTAGTATTGGTCTATGGTAAGAGAAGACACGAAACGCTTGGTCTTCAAAGGCGTTGGTGGCAGCGATGGCGGCCATGGACTGAACTTCACCTCTGTATAGCGAGGCAGGGGCCAAGTACTTTCCCTCTGCTGGGTCACATTGCAGCAGGTGGTTGGCAGGCTTAAAACATGCTTCTGTAATGTCAGGTACTGTAAAGTCCTCAAAGAGTGCAATCTCAGCAGTGGTGACAGGGGCATAGCTAACCACAGGAAAGCAGAGGTGAGGGTTGGACAACAAGTTAGTCTGCAATGTAACCTGGTCAATATTCCAAATGCCACGAAAGTATAAATAAGGAGATTATTTTGACAACAGCAGATATACAAATCCTACACTCCTTTTTAATTAGGTGCTATCTTATTCATGACATCTGGTCCCCACAGATGTCAAAGTTCAAATGGTCTGTTTGGGAGTTGCCTCATTTCCGGCACCACAATATGACTACTCATTTGAATCCTTTATAAACCACTATCTGGACTGAGGGGCGAGCATTATTATTCTATCTCTGCTACTACCTGTACCGTCATTCTGATCTTTAAAATAAACTCTACGTGGACTTGGACGTCGCTGACTTACCTCCTGGCTCCCTGCGTGAGGAACTTAGATTCCTCACCTTACCATCCAGTTATTCCAAAAATAGGAAACCGATCAGAAACTCTACTACAGCTACAGAAGAACTATTATCACAACAATACTTGGCGGCAGCTGAGGAATATCAGAAGTACAACTAAAAACATTAAACTAGGTCTATTTGAATAATATTGTCACTGTACACTGATCGACCACTGGGATGGGTGGAGTTGACGGAAAAGCCTAAGATTTCATTGCCAAATAACGCGAGAATCACAACTGCTCAAAACAGAAGAATGCCTGAACAAAATCACGTAGTGTGGGCCTGGAAAGTACCTCTGGTACCAATTGCAACGATCCGAGGAGGAGTTTGCTTACGATTTGTGAGAATAGCGAAGTCTTTCCCCGATCTCTGCAAAGAATCGCTTTCCTGAGCCCAAGCGCTTCTGGGATTCTCGCCTAGTCCAGGAAATAGCGAACGACGAATGCAAACACACTTTTATTGTCTTACGAACTAGAACTCATAATCTACAAAGAGAAAAACTACGACATAACCACCAGAGATGACACTCGTGCAGACAATTCTCTGTTCTAAAACTTTTCTGATATTCTAAGTGTAGAATAGTCGAGAGAGAATTCTCACCAACAGCGGAGTCTAAAGTGCGCCCGCCCGGTGACCGTGACAGGATTAAAATAAACCCAGATGCCGGGAGGTGGTACGGCCCTAGGATTATTTCAGGGGTTAACCCAAAATGCAAAGTACTTGCACTCCAAAAATTACCAGAATATATTTAAAAAATTATATATATTTAAAAAAGAACATTCAGACACAAATCAATCAAACCTCCCAAGTCTCAGGCTCCGGCCAGGGTTACGACTAGTCACGCAAAACAAATCAAAAATGAGCCCTATCTGTCTTCAAGCTCTGTCCTTGAGTCGTTCTCTGCCCGGCGGACACACGGACTTTCCGCCGCATTGCCTCATCAAGACCTCGAAGCCAGCGACTCCAAAGATCGGGGAGATGTGGGAGATAGGTCACTCCGAACAATGAGGCATGGCTCAAACTTGTACACATTAACTTTTTTTCAATTTGCCTACTCAATGCAGTACGTCCCATCTTGGTTTTCCTTCAAAGAAACTCAGATATTCCCTAGGCCTACCTGCAAATGACTCGACGTTGCGGTAGCCGTTACGTCGATAGAGGTGTCCCGAATCAACTCAGTTTGTATGTCAACGATCAACTGCAGGTCCTCTAACTTTCGTCGTATCATGATTTGAATTTCAACATTCTGTATTAACTAGCATTCTAAATGGAGAAACGCCACGAATTCTGAGCGCCGATGTCCATGATTAGGTAATCGAGCCAGGAAATGAACATGATTCCACGTGGAAACAAAGCACCGGGTGTTCCATGAGAACTGCCTACTATTCACGTGCATCTCACTGCATCTAATGCAGGCATACTCTGTACAAAAATAAGTAGAAACACTACAATATGGCTGACACATTTCAAAAGTCCACGCTTCGCCACTGCATGCACGTACAATGGGAATTTCAGACTGTTGGTGGAATACATTGAAAGTGACACATGGAAATGCAATGTAAATCTTTCTAAACATCTTTTGTTTTTATTTGCTCTCTACTTAAATTCTAGTTACATACAGAAATTTGTATCATAGTTGGCTAAATAAAGAAATCAGTACTGAGATACACTTAAGCAAAGAAACTGTATTAATTATGTAGGATTTGAAGTTTTCAGAGCGGTGAGTTTGAAGATTGCTGACTTCTGGGTCATAGATTTCCACCAACATTCATCCCCCTGATGAAAAAGGCAGCAAGGACCTGTGAAACGTCGGTGGGAATCTACGAAACTACACGGTGCAACAACCCAGAAGAGAGCCATCTTGTGTATTAATCATTTTTGTTAGAACTTGTAATATGTTGAAACGTAGAAGTTAGGCCGATTGCAAGAGACGCAGAGCAATTTATGGAAAATTTCAAAAGGAATTTAGTTCCGTGATTCACCTGAAGCGGATTTGGCGATAACCGTTCACGACTAGAGGTTTACACGAAATGTAATATAAGGAGTTATTAGAAAATCTTATTGGTGCCAGTCTTAACGGTGAGTGAAGTTCCATGTCAATATCCAGGTCCATTTTAGAGGATTCTGGAACATTAACTACGCCGTAAGAAGAATCAGTTTCGTTAAGTGAAGTGAAAAAATCCAGATTAAAATAATCGAA